TATATATTGGTGCGCTCGGGCCTTGTTCTCCGACTCTTTGATTGGCATTTGCTTTGTCAGTTCTAAGTCTCCTGAGGTCAGTGACTCATATCATAGCAGCCGACCAATCTTTATATATATCATTACTTTCAACCTATTGATTATATTTTAATTATGTTCATAAAATAATAATAATAATAATAATAATAATAATAATGAAAAAGTATTTTACTCGTATTTCTAAATAAATTTAATTATTTAGTAATTATATTGTATTAGTTATTCTCAGCATTAAAGATTAAGGTAATTTAAATTTTTCTTAATTAAGGAAGATCAATACAATCAACTGAAATTGTTCATCACTTCTGTAAATTATTTAACATTTTATTTTTATTTTTATGATATTTTAGAATTATTGAGAAAATAATTGAGTTGTATTGTTCAAAATATTATATGCATATACTTCTATATTTTTTTAAAGAAATCACTTTCATTTACCAGATTTTCTTATTTAAAATATTTCAAAATTAAAATTACTATTTTTGATGTGTGCTAGAAAATTCGCGGGAATAGAGTAATGGATTATCGTTTTAGTGTTGCGCGATGATTCATCACACACTCAGATGAAAATGAATCAATTTGTGATAACACCAGAAGTTTTTACGTGGAAAACTCATAAACAGAAAAAACCACGGGGTCTGGCCTAGTTGTAAAAATCCACTATAAGTTGATGATTACAGATGTCTCTTGTCCCGCAGGCGAGAAAGGGTTACTAGCTTTCTAAGTTACAACGTCTACTGATGACGTCTAGTCAGCGGTGGTTGACGGAGGTCGGTAGTGATCGATGGTAGTTGACGATAATCGATGACGGTCGGAGGTGGTCGACGGAGGTCAGCGATGGCTAACGACAGTCGATAACGGTCGGCGGTGGTCGACAGAGGTCAGCGGTGATCAACGGCGATCAACGGTGGCCGGCAGTGGTCGACAAAGGTTGGTGGTGGTTGTCGACAGTAAGTGGTGGTCGACGACGATCGACAATGACGAGGATGATCTTAGACTTGAGTTTCTTCTTTAAGCCTCAAGTTCTCTCTTAAGCCTCCTCCTTTCATGTGAGGGGTGAGGCTATATTTATAGTGTTTTTAGTTCAATTAATGCAAGAATATGAACCATTTTGATCGGACGGTCTGGAGAGCTTCCCTTGATCAAATGATATTTGATGGACATTTGAGTGCCTTAATGATGTTGAAATTGACCAATCTTGCGCTCATTGGATTCATCTTGTCGAGATGTTCGATTCAACTATGAACTCACTAGATTCAACATCCGTTTGACCTTTCAAATGCCTCCGAAAATCTTTCAAGTGTGGTTTAATGATTTGATCTGAGCTTGATTTGACTCAAATTGAACTGATTTTTATATCATTACGTTCGTCTCATCAAGCCGATCAATTTGACTATAAGTTTGCTGAAATCAGAGCTCTGGATGGCTCTTAATCGAAGTTTGAATGTTTCTTGTTTAAAAAATTACACCGAGATTCGTGCTGGTTGATGAAAATTTATTGGTGACGTATCAATTTTAAATTTAATTAATTTATTTATATTTATATTTATTTAATGACTAAAATTTCATAAAAAAAGGAAACAACATTTGAGTTCGCCAGCTCAGACTTATAGTCTGTTTGGGGTAGAAGTGCAGTGGCGAGCGGTTTTGTTGTTTAGTTAAATTGTGTTTTAACAGTTTTTTCAACAAGTTGGCACTAAAATTTGTGTTTTCACATCGGTCCTAACTATGTACGGTGACAGTTTTCTAGGTATAGTTTGACTTAAAAAAAAATAAATAAACATCAATTATTTTTTACAACCTCAGAACTGTTTGCAGCAACCCGACAGACTCGTAGTTTGAATAAGCTTAGGCAGATGGAAAATAAATATTTTGCGGCCAAATATTTTATCATTTCAGAATCCTTCAGAGGAGTCCTACTGAATATTTTACTGAAATAAGAAAAATAAATAAAATTTAAATATTAAAGGCTGCATAAAAATTGCGTTTTCATCGTTATTATTATTTAAAACTTATTTTTTCAAACAAATGTTAAATAAATTAAAATTTATTGATCAAAAACAACAATTTGTTGAAAAAAATATATACCATGATATTTTAATACATTATCTACAATAATGCGCACATCAAATAAGAAAAAATGTAGATAAATCAATATTTTTTAAAATTTCATAAATTTTGCTATTTTTTAAAAGAAAAAATAAACTATTATTTCTATAAAAAATAAATTTTAATTACAAGCATTCATTATTTATATTCAAGTACTTAGTTTTTTACGCTTTTCACACAAAATTAACAAGATTTATAATAACAAGCACGATTTGACTCAAAATAATAATTAAAAAGAACTTTTATTATGTAATTCACAAAAAAAAAAAATAATAATAATAAAAATATGACTCCCTTTCAAACCTCAGCAATTTCTTTTTCAAATTAAGTGTTAATCCTCTAAAATTTTTCATTTACTTTCAACCAAAATGCAAAATTGTTCCCTCCAAATGTCTGCCGATAAGCTAATCAAATCATTCATTAATCATTAACAGGGATAATTAAAACACAGAGAATTACATTCAGACCAACTGAAATATTGATATTTACAAAATGATCGCCCAGGTGAAAGTCAGAAAAGAAGAAGAAAGAGACCAACGCCATGCCAATTGTCAGCTTTCAAGTGTCTCTCTCTACGCTTAATCTCATCGATGGGGGCCGGCCTCCGCCGGCGGGGGTACTTTATTTCTCTACATAAA